GAGAAACACCTTGGCATCGAGAAAAAGGAGAGACGACTGCCACGCAAATCCGTTTACTTCCGCCAGCAACCACCCACAATTCGCTTCGCGATCGGCATTGCGTTTGTTGTCCTGCTGGTTATATACCTGCCACTGCAGAGCGCACTGGTTGCGTATCTGGGGTGGGGGAGGACGCAGCGCATCATATTTGCGTCCATCTTGATTGCTGTCCTTGTGGCACTTCCGTTGATGGCATTGCCCGTTTCGTGCCTTGAGAGGAGGGAGACACAACGGGAGGAGGATGACTGCGGTGGGACGGAGAGACCGAGTGCGGGTGATGAGGTGGCGAACGAGCGTGCGGCGGCTGGTGGTCCCCCGAAGAAGGTGGAGACGGACGTCGACTACATTGCGCCGCAGTACCAGACGACCTTTCTCCAGAACCTGAAAACGCTGAAGTTGTGGGCTTTTCTCTGTAGCTTTTTCTGTATTGCGGGCTCTGGGTTTGTGATCATCTACAATGCCAGCTTTCTCTACGCCGCGCTTGCTGACGAAGAGGTGGACAACGCCATCAAAACGCTTCTCACGGTGCTGAACGGGGTGGGAAGTGCGGCGGGTCGGCTACTGATGAGCTACTTCGAGGTCTGGTCGCAGAAACGCAAGGCCGAGGACAGGGTTTCGATTGTCGTTTCTGTCTATTTGGCTGATGTGTTCGTGATCCTGTCGCTGGTTTTATTCCTCGTGGTGCCCAGGGCTGCACTGCCGCTGCCGTACTTATTGTGTGCCATTGGCAACGGTTTCAGTGCAGCCTCCCTTGTGTTGGTTTCTCGGACTGTTTTTGCAAAGGACCCCGCCAAGCACTACAATTTTATTTTCCTTGCGTTAGTGAGTTCTACAGTCTTCCTGAACCGCCTTCTGTACGGCGAGTGGTACACGCGGGAGGCAAGAAGGCGAGGTGTTGATGTTTGCCTGGATTGTGCTTGTGTGCAGCTCCCGTTGCTTGTGATGCTTGGATTCAACGTGACGGCCTTCATATCCAACGCCTATGTGCACTGGGAGTACGTGAAATTTAATCGTCAGGTGTTGGATGAGCGGCGTCGCCTCTTTGAGGAGCAGCAAGAAGGCGGGGGTTTATGGGCCTGAGTGAATTATTTGTGAGGGATGACGTGGACGGTTTTTGTGAAGGGAGTGCACCGACTACGGAATACTCCTCTGATGACAACGGCTGCTTGAGGGTGGGTGCTGCGGCACACGATGCCGTTTTCCACGAGGATGAATGTAAAGAGAACGGCGTCGGTTGTGTTCACTCATCACAAGAGAGATGGGCGTTTGACACTGCCGCCTCTGCTGCTGCCATTGTTTTTGTTCTCCTGGCCTCGCGTGTGTGCGTGTGGGATCCGAGAGGAGAGAGTAGCGGCAGAGCCTTTTGTTTTGTGTTTTTAAAAATAAATTTGATGGCCCGCGTTGCGGTGACACGTGCCCCCAGCCGTCATGGCGTTACGGCTGTGTCCCTGCAAGACGCGGCAGGCCCGGGTGCTGGCTGTTGCCGTCAGCCCTGCGCGAACAACAATGGCCCCGCGAGTGAAACGTTGCTGGCTCCTGGCTCCCCCGACAATACGGGGCAATTGACCCTGGCACCACGGCGAAGACAGCGGGCACCACCACCAGGGGAGCAGCAGAGGCGGCACCCAACACCAATGGAAGGAAAAGAAATCCACGTGGTGTGCTTGCCACTCGTTATTTTCAAATCCTTTAATTTACGAGGCGCCTTTGTGTGTATGTGTTCTTTTTTCTGTTTTCCTTTCTATTTTCTTTCCATGGTGTCAATTTATGCCCGTGTGTATTTGGTTAGAGCTGCCAGGAGAGTGCGAAGGTGTCACCACGTATGTATCTCATGGGTGTGTGAGCACGAAATGACACAGCAGGAGGGGTAGGAGCGCCTGACTTTGTTTTTCTCGTATCTACTTGGTTTCATTTCTTTTGACTCTCTACGGCGGCGGGGATACATACCATGTTTTTGATGTATGATGGGGGCCCGTGGAGAGGAACGTGCGAAGACGAGGGTGTTTATCTTGGTGATATTGTGTTTTGACGAACTTTCCCGCCTTTTTTTGTTTCTTAACTGAATTTTTCCCCCGATGACACCGTGCTGGAGTGCAGCGAGGGCAGTTTTTTTCTGTCCCGCCTCCCCCGCTGTTAGCCCTCACGCGGAGGGGAGTCCGGCGGTTGCGGGGCCCTTATGAAGACAGCCACCTTTGGAGGTTTACACATATTTCTTAATGAATTTGTCTGTTTGCCGGTGCATGAGCGTGGGACAAATCTCCTCTGAGGCGTCGGGGATGCGGAGTACACGGAATCCAAGCTGCATTCCCTTTTGCTTTTGGTTGCCGTGTCACATTTTTTGGGAATGTTGTGCCGTGCCGTGCCTGGGTGCGCGTTTGTTTTTACTTCCATGCACATGGCGAGGAGCCTGAGGCATCCCAACGACAGTACAGGCGCACATGCGTCTGCTTCCATGGCGGTATGTCCTTGTGCGTTAAGACGAAAGCGTGGCTTTTCAAAGCTTTTGTTGCCGTCTAAATTCCTCCGCTTGTTTTTATTGCCACGGTATCATCACTTGTTTATATGCTGCACGTCTGAAAGCGTGCTCTTTTATTTCTTTTTATTTGGGCTTGTGTGTTTTGTTCCTCCATCAATATCTCATAAGATGGATGTGTGTATGATGTGTAGTACTTTTCTGTTTCTTTGCGTCGGATTCATTAAATGTTGAATTGCTGCAGACGAAACCTGAAGGCATGTATATGTCGATGTTTATGTGTGTATGTATGCATATATGCGTTGGTATATTAGACGTAGAATAATATTACGGTTGTGTGTTGTGTGTTTAGGCGTGGACGCAGCATTCACGGGCGGAGAGTCAAAAGGACGCATGCAGCCAGCCGGGAAGGTAGTGAGGAGTGAAACAACATATGCGTTTGGCATTTGTTTCTTTTTTTGTTGGAGGGAGCGTGAGGCTGGCGCGATAGGGAAGTTTAGATCTGTTGTCCTCTTTTGTGTGGGCGCTTGATGACGTTTCTCACTCTGTCTGCTGCCATTGCCTCTCCTCCTTTTTCTTTCGGAGTGTTTTACTTTTTACAAGAACGGACGGGGGAGGGGGCGAGGCCCCACCAACTGTGCGGCACACCGTGGCCGGTCCTTTGTGCGTAGGTATTTATATTTGTGTGTCGTTTTGAGGCGCCTTTTCTATTCCTTCATTTTTTGGGGGTTTGCGTG